CAAAACAACACGGGCTTTGTCGACGACACGGATGGGTTGTGGACGGAAGGCGAAAGGTTGGGTAGAGAGCGTCGAGCACTGCACCTGGATGCTAAAAGTCAGTTGCTTGCATTATACAGAGCACATGCTAACATACTACTGTATTGTAGCCTACCCAACCATCCCTGCGTTCCCAGAAGTCGTGAAAGCCGTCAACGCCAAAGTCAATCCCAACGACCTCAAAACCCTCCTCACGACGTTTGTGAACAAGTTCACCACCCGCAACAAAGCGTCGTCTCAGGGACTGGCGTCGAGCATCTGGTTGTTTGACCAAGCGACCGCCTTGTCCAACGCCCACGACCGCGCCGACATCACGACCAACGTGACCAAGTACGACCACGGATGGGGCCAAGTGTCTGTGATCTTCCGCATCGACCCGGTGAAACCTGCCGTGAACAACGATCTGCTCATCCTGGGTGCGCATCAAGATACGGTCAACGATTATGGTGGCAAGGCCGCCCCAGGCGCCGACGACGACGGGTCCGGCACGGTCACGATTTTCACGGCGCTCAAGTACTTGCTGTCGTCACCGCAGTGGGTTCCCACGCGACCGATCGAGTTCCACTGGTACTCGGCCGAAGAATATGATAGGGTAAAAAGAGCGGGATTGCAAGGCTCCAAACAAATTGCCACCGCTTATGCCAAAGCCAAAGTCGACGTGTACGCCATGTTACAAAACGACATGTACGATCGATCGAATGACGTGAAACGGTGTAATTGACACAATGATAGGACGGGGTGGACCCGAGGCGGCACCAAAGTCATTAGCTTCACGGACGACTTCACGTCGCTTCCGCTGAACAAGTTCTTGCAAGCGTGTGTCAATACTTACTTGACAACTAAAGTGAGCCACAACACGTGCGGCTACGGCTGCTCCGACCACGCGTCATGGTTCAACGCTGGGTACGCCGCAGCATTCCCGTTTGAAGAAGACGGGCCCGTCAACCCCAACATCCACGTACGTCGTCGTCGCTTGAATATTTTTAACTGATATTCATGGCTGTGGAGTAGTCGTCCAAGGACACTATTGCGACCTTGGACTTTGACCACATGGCCGAGTTTACGCGATTGGCCGTGGCTTTCGTGGTGGAGCTGTCGCAAGCAAAGACGAAGCATCCCACTATCTTGGATGTTGCGGACGGAGCCCGATGTGATTGATGCAGATATGTTTTCGACCTTCGGCGATCATTCTAATTGTCGATTAGACTGAAAGATTTCATGTGGATATAAGGGCAGTGTATTGATGCTGTGCTAGACAATCAATAATAGTATGTGTTTCAATGAAGGTGTGTTTCGGTGCACCAGGGGGGTACAGTGGTGGCTGGTAAAAGCCGACGAAAGTTGTAATGTTGTTTATCTACGAATTTGTATCACAGTTGCACTTTGAATGAAAACATGTTCTACGTAGTACTTACTACTAGTACGTACTTCTCCGTTTCAGAATATTATTGTGGGCTTACGGGACGGAACATATTTTGTGAAGCATATTCGCTATTTGTCCCTACTCAGGCTTGTTTTGTAGCCTATTCCATGTTGTTTTTACTTTAAATATCGGCCATTCATTCATTTCTGGTCCAATTGTGGAGATTGTATGCTCAAACGACTCGTATTCATGCGTAGATATAGCTAGCTATCCTCCAAATCGTCTAAATCACACTGCATACCGAGGTATCTATGTTGTAAGATTCGGAAGACCTAGTCGTGGAGCTTTTTTTCCTACACAACCATGGGGAAACATGAACAACAGCACTTCGAACTCGCGAGTAAGTCAATAATGACAACTATGAATGAATCTATTCCTTTGTTGTAATAGCCAATGCTATTGCAAATCTTATCAACCTGGTGCTTGAGCAAACTTATTCTACCCTTTAGAGCTAGTGCCATGAACATGCTAAGCATTGATTTGAATGATCTGAAATCTGAGCCAAGTGTCGTGATGCCTTATGCGACAAAAGCAGTATATGTCAATAGAAACCTTGTGCATTTGTATTTCATGATATAGGTCTTCTTATGGAAGCTCATATCGATTTGATCTGTGCTTTATGCCTGCTATTCCCTCCTATAACTGTGTGTGCGCCACATCCTCACCCGGTTGGTCGTAAAAATGTGAATTTGAATAAAACACGAAAATTCTCAGAAATATATCAAATCCTAGGGCAACTTTCCAAGTATAGACCTCACTCAAAAATACCCACAATAGTATTTTGGAACAGAGGAAGTATTGTGCTTTGCACTTGTTTTGGCGTCGGTTTTACGTGGCTAAAAGAGTGGTACTTCTGCTGTAACTGTGTTACTACGTATTAATAGTAGTTTTTGTGTGTTCTACTCAAAATATGAACCGCCCGAAAATCACCGGACCTGCAAAATATACTACAAAATTAAGCATAAGAGATAGTTTCCTACCGGTGAAGTGGTACAGCCGATATGGGCCTATAATACCTGTTTCGGAGCCCCAGGTGTTCTCGGCGACAACACGTGCGTGAGTGTGTGTAGCCGATAACCAACATCCATGTCCAGATGTGCATGATGGTTGCGGAACCAACTTATCCATTGGCTGAGATAGACTGTAGCAGATGATTGGTTGTGAGGAAGAACTTAGACATGATTGATAATGAAGTTCACTTTTGGATTTGTCATCAAGGTCTACCGTTCTGAACGCAGTAGCTGATTGTGCAAGCCGGCTCAGACATCAAAGAATTCTGTAGGTGTTTTTCGACTCGCTGGCATCTCAACGCATGGAAGATTCCTCGAGTGGGAACGACCCTGTCATGAACGTGGAGCTCCCTGGCAACGACCATGATGGAGAATGCGAAGCTCGATCCCGTTCCGATCGCTCCGCAAGTACGACGGCCAGATCTACATTCCAAGGCTGTTTCGAAGACCGCGGAAGGCCGCGGAGCCAAGAGACGGTGCGACGACTTTTCGATCACCCCAAGGACGCCGACGCCTATGGATTCTCTGGCCATGGCGATGGAATACGTGGACATGGGCCAGACGGACGTGTACCTGTATAACGCTCCGGCCCTCCCGAAACATCGTTTATGGGATCGACCAAGCAGGAACGCCATACGTTTATCGCTGCAGTACAACTTGTAAACATCAGCGTTACATCGGCCGTTACCGTCAATGGGACTCAACGGTTCGGCATGCCGTGAACGCATGCATCGATCCAGCTACCAAGCAACGTATTTCTGCGTAGGATATGGGTAAGGACCCTTATGAAGTGACAGAAGCCGAATGGTTTGCGTGGTTCCGGCAAGGTTATGACGTCGACCTACGGGCGCTTGACACGCTCAAGAAACGGATCGAGGTTGTGGTCGTGTTTGACATGTCTGTACAAGATGGCGACTCACATATTGGGAAGATGTCGGACGGACTGGCAGCCGCCATCCGTCGCGACGGTCAGGAAGGGTAATCAAGGAAGAAAGCCCAGCGATCCGCAAGATCATTACAGACGGGTCAAGCCGACGTCGCTCCATCGTGTCGTGACTGAGAGATAGCCTTGACACGCAACAAGCCGTTTAAGAAGGACGTGCGGGAGTACGCGGTCGGGCACGAACGGTTCGTCGGATACGAAGAAGAGACGAAGTCAGCTGCGAAGGCAGATCTGTCCAAGACGAACCAAGGAGGTATGCACGGACTCTGTACGGCTCCGACTCAGTCGACAGCGATGGTGCCCCAGACACCACCTGGGCTGACGCCGGCGAACGGCTGTCTGAAATGCAAGTCTGCGAGCCATCGCGTACGGGAGTGCCCGGGTATCACCAAAGTGAAGCTCCGCATAGCACACGGACGAGCCCTCGACTGTGGACGAAGGGACGGTGGACGTGGAAACGGGCACCATATGGTCACAATGATAACGGACCCCGTACATACGGAATGTACCGAATTGGTGGCTACGGTAGAAGATGTGTTGACGGTATAGGCCTTGTTGCTCGATTCCGGAGCTGACTTGTCCGTGGTATCTGGTGGCCTCGTGTCAGCCTTACTTGCAGCATCGACGACGACGAAGGGATGTGCTGCGCGACTCCAGACTGAGGTACGGACCCGTACCCCACAGACGGGCAAGTCTACGACGATCCGGCCCGTACGGTGCTGAAGAACAACGTTGCCGACGCCGCTTCCCAATGCATGGACAAAGAGTCCGTACGGTGCTTACAAGACGTATTGGTTGAGTTCAAGGACTTATTCCGTTTGAAGTCCGGTCGGGACCCTCCGGTCAAGGTGGGGCCGTTGAAGGTGTATCTGAAGCCCGGATCCGTTCCAGTGAAGTCAGGACTTTGGCGTTACCCACCGACCCATATGGCGTACTTAACGAAGCACGTACGTGAGCTTGAAGAAGCCGGATTGGTGTACCATAACACTCGGTCACGTTGGGCGGCTGCGCCCCGTATCGTCCCGAAGAAAACCTGGGCGACCTACGGATTACGATCGACCTCAAGACCGATCAACGCGTGTATGGAGCCGACGCCATGGCCGATGTCCAACTTAGACGTTGCGATGTCCGTACTGCAAAGCTCTACGGTGTACTTCACTCTGGACTGGATGAAGGGTTATTGCCAACTGCCCTTACACCCTGACTCTCAGGAGTACTACTCTTTCCTGACGCCGGCCGGGGTTGTCACTCCAACGCGGTTACTGATGGGCCAGTCGGATGCGGTGGCGTACTGTCGAGGCGTTGTGGACGAGCTGTGCGGAGACATTCTCATGCACGGTCTGCTTGGTTGGCTCGACGACCTGCTGGGATACGCCGAGAATACGGACGACTTGCTATATTTGCTCCGTCAAGTACTGACCGTATGCTAGACGTACGGTCTCAAGTTGCATCCGGGGAAGTGTACCTTCTTCACGACGAAGACCGTATGGTGCGGAAAGGAGTTCTCCGCGGACGGCGTGGCGCATGTTCCGGGATGAGTGCAAGGCCATTGCGATTTGGAACCGCCACAGACGGCCGTGGACCCCCAACAGTTCACGAGTGCTACGAACTGGATGCGTGCGAACATCCCTCAGTATACGTAGTATACGGAGCTGGTGGCCCCGTTAACGAAACTTATGGACATCTCGGCTAAGGCGGCCGACTTCCTTAAGAAGACCGCGTTGACCCGTGTGGCGTTGAGTTCCGTCAGTTGATGCGATGACCATCAGGGTTGTTTCGACCGTATCAAGTCGACATTGAAACGTATTGTGCCTTTGGCCCACCCAGACCCGGACCGTATGATTTGCCTCTATACGGACACAAGCGAAGGATATTGGGAGGCGATCGCGACTCAAGTACTCGTCGAGGACCTTGCGTTGGCGGTGATCGCAGCGGCATGAGCCGTTGGCGTTTCTCAGTGGAGCGTTCCGTGGTGCGAGCGAACGGTGGTCTATTGTGGAGAAGGAGGTGTTTGCGGTGGTGGAGTCCTGCAAGCGAATTGAGTACCTCCTCATACGGCCAGGCGGGTTCCATCTGTTTACTGATCACCGTAACCTCATGTACATGTTCAACCCGTTGGGTTCGAAGTCCAACATGGCCAAGTATCAGGCGCACAAGCTTCAACCTTGGGCGACGACGATGACTACGTTCCCGTACGTTGTGGAGTGTGTGGCCGGCGAGGACTACTTATGGGCCGATCTACTCAGTCATTGGGGAATGTTCCCATGGAGGCTCGTGGCGTTCGTATTCAGAAGTTGGCACTGGTCTCGCCCTTACGTACGGACACGTTCCTTTGGTCTACGGCACACCTTATTACGGAGCTGCAATGGGCTCATACGGACTGCGAACGGTGCGCGACCTGGAATCCGGAGAAGAAGTGTTTCCAAACGGCTTCTGGCAAGATATGGATCCCAGATGACGCGGTGGACATGCAAGTCCGTATCTACGTCGTGGCTCATGCCGGTTCGGGCGACTACGGAGTCCGTATCGGAAGTTTTCGAGTGGACGACCTTGAAGACGGACTTCAAAAACTTTGTCACTGCGTGCCTCCATTGCTTGGTCGTGGATGGTGAGTCCGTACCCCGTTCGTGGGGCGAGGGGTTGCACGCGACGAAGCCCAACGAGTTGATCCACTTCGACTGGGTGTCCTTTTCTGAAGCGGTGGATGGATTGAAGAACGTCTTCGTGATCAAAGACGACATGAGCGGGTTTGTCAGTCTGCACGCAAGCGCGGCGGCTACGGCAGTTGAAACGACCGCTGCCCTTATGGAATGGTTCGGTCTTTTTGGTGTGGTGAAGACTTCGGTGTCGGACTGCGGATCCCATTTCAAGAACGAGATGGTGAGTACCATTGGCCACATGTTCGGCGTGCACCACCATTTTGTTACCCCGCACTGCCCTTGGGCAAACGGAACCGTGGAATTTGTGAACCGCATCATCGTACGGACGTTGAAGACTCTGTGCAGCGAGATGCGGCTGCAGCCCATGGAGTGGTCGAAAGTCCTGCCACTTGTCCAGTCCGCCCTAAACCAGCAACCTGCGGACCGTATGGGCGGCATTGCACCAACTACGGCGTTTACCGGTCTACCTGCGACCCCACCACTGTCTGGCATTGTCCATGTGGAAGGTGCGGAAGTCGCCACGATTCATTGGATCCAGTCTTAAGCCAAGCGACATGTGGTGGACCTTGCGAACGCCTTGTCTGTGATGCACAGCAAGTGACTGAAACGGCCGCAGGCAAGCGAAACAATTCCCGTATCCAGCGAAATGGAAATCGTACGGTCAAGTTGGCGAACGCGCTCTGGGCGATTTCGTCTTGGTAGCCCGTGCCTTGAAACACCCTGACAAGTTGAAACTGCGTTGAATGGGTCCGTACCGTGTGATCAAGGTGGTTTCCAACCACCTCATTGAAGTCCAACAGTTGACCCCACCGGAAGCGATCTCCCTGCAACATGTCAGTCGACTGCGTATGTACTGCGAGGGCGGCCTCGAAGTCGACGAAGACCTGAAGGCTCAGATTGCGTTTGGAGATGAAGGTTCTACGTCGAGGCCATACAAGACCTACGCATGCACGATACGGTCTGGCAATTGAAGATCAAGTGATACGGCTTGGATGATTTGGAGGCCTCACGGGAGACGGCCCTTTCGATCTATGAAGATCGTTGGATCAAGGACCGCATGAATGAAGACGGCGTGAGCGAAATGGCTGAAGACATCCAGCGTGCGTACGACCATCCCTTGTAGGGGGGAAGTGTTCTCGGCGTCAGCCTCGTGTCGACTACACAGGTGAATTGATGTGCGTGAGTGTGTGTAGCCGATGACCAACATCCATGTCCGGTTGTGCAAGATGGTTGCGCAACCAAGTTATTTAGTGGCTGAGGTAGACTGTAGGAGATATTTGGTTTGGTGGAAGAACTTATACATGATTGATAATGAAGTTCACTTTTGGATTTGTCATCAAGGTCTACCGTTCTGAACACGGTAGCTGTTTGTGCAGCCGGCGCAGACTACACCGGGTTATAGTAAGACGACGACACATGTGCCTTGAGAGAGAACACGTCAAGTCTGTGTACTTCCCCATCACGAGCGTATGCGAATACCATTACCATCGACGCTGGTTTCATTCTTTTTGTGCTGGTCTGCATGACCGAGACCAAAGATAGTTTTGATCCAAATGGTACATCCAAGACTTGCGATCTGTGCCTCGAGGTAATCGGTCACCTTTCTACCACCTTCGTGGTACATCTCTTTAATCGGTACGCATGATGGACCGTGACTTCGTACGGTGGCACCAGCTGCTGAGTCTCCATCACATGGTCTGTGATGACTCTGGTCACTTGGCAGTGTCTGCGCCAATGCTGGGTCAATTTTGTCGGACGGTTGACGACCGATCCGACAAGCACAAAATCGCCGACCGAAAAGCCCGTAAAATTGACTTGGGATTTTCGGTCGCGGCGTCCACAGGCTTGCTGATGCAACTTGTCGCTTCTCACCGCGACGTTGCGGTACAATTCTTCGAGCACCGCTTGAAGGTTCATCACATGTTTCTGACGGGCAGCGCAAAGCCAGTAAACTTCCTTGGACGTCAGGTGGACAAATCCTGCCAGCGGGGTCTAGGCTAACAGAACGGTAAACAGGGGCAATTCCTCCCAGCCGGTCCGCCGGCTGATGATTGAGGGCACCTTGATCGAGGGGCAACACATGCGGCCATTTGTCCGCGTTCAGCTTCATTTCGCTAAGCCGCGCCTTCACAACGCGCAGCACTAGTCGGTTGACTACTTCTACAGTCCCGTTCACCCTAGGACTGTAGGCTGTCGTGATCTGATGATGGGCACGCACCAACTTCCGTACATTCTCGATCACTTCGTTCTTGAAGTGAGAGCCGCCATCCGACACCCAGGTGTCAACGTAACCGAACGTGGTAAACCACATCATCAACGACTGAGTGGTCGCGGCAGCATCAGCGAATTCTGCCGCGAACAACTGCACAAAGCCACTCATGTCGTCCTTCACGACAAGCACTTGTTTTCGGCCAGACTTGGCCATGGGTATCGACAACCAGTCGAAATGGATGAGCTCGTTCGGCTTCTCCGCGTGAAGCGCCGAACCCAATGGATGGGGAACCATGTCTCCGTCACACAGGCAGTGCGATCAAGCCCGCACGAACGCTTCGACGTCCGTGGAAAGAGTCTTCCTCGCAAACGTGTCGGACACCGACTTGGTCGTCGCAACGATGCGACGGTGACGGCAAGCTCTTTGGTGAGCAATCACACTAATCCGCTGCTGTAGGTCAACAGCACCGTCTGGGATCCAGATTCGTCCGTCTCGGTCCACGTAAAAATGGGAGTCGTCGTCCCAAGCCACGCCGTT